GGCCGGCGAGCAGGGCAATTATGTGGCTCGCGTCAAATGGAAACCAGCGTGCAAAGCGGGCTTCGCCCCAACGACCTACAATCCCAAACGGAGCCCGTTTCTGTGCGTTACCATTCGATCCCCCAGCACGCGCCAGGCTAAGCATTCAGGAAAGACTGACAGACAACCCCCCGCCACCACAAAGGTGCATTTTGCCCGGGTCCAACGACAGGCGTCACACCCATAGGGTATCTGCACACACACGCGTTTAGGCAAATGGGGACCAGTACGTGCTCCAGCGCTAGCCTGCGCTCTCCCGCGCTCGCTTTAGCGGCACAAATGGCAGGAGAAGGCATGTCTGTCTGGGGGAAGGAAGGTGCTGGACCAGCCCTCGCTCCTCGCCAGATGTTCGGCTCTTTCCTGGCGGACACGGCGCTCCGATAACCGACACAGGGTCGCCGATCGACAACTGCCGGGTCAGTGCCCCGCTCGTCTCTTTGTCCCCACGGCTACCTGCGATTTATTTTAGTCCCCTTGTAAAGAAAATGAAGGTCGCGGCAGTTCATTCGATTTCTGCGTGTGACACCTCAGCCCAAGGCAGCAGAGCCTGTCACCCCCGCCTGGAACAAGGCTCGGTGCTGCCGTTCGCCCCCTCCCCCGTTCCTTCCAGAATAATGGCAATAATGACTCCGGTGCTCGTGCCTCGCAGCCCTTTCAGGGTAAAAGCTGTTCCCCGCTTTGCTGTGCCTGACAACCTTTCATTTCTTACTGTTGCCCGCTCTTTGTCTCTGATGCTTTATAGCGTCAAGCCTCTTTTTCATTTATTTTCGGTAGGCGACGGTCTGAATTGCCTGGCAGGGCTATAAACCGATTCTCTATCCACCTGCAGCAGGCTCTGCTTCCCACTCACACCTCGCTAACTCAAGGCGAATTCAGAGCAATTAGGAATACGAGGCTTTTGAAAAGCTACAATTAGCATCCAAATTTCGCTTGATTACAGGCTTCAGCGTAGGCTGAAAGGAAGCTGCAGCATTAGCATTTATATAACGTAAGGGGGGGACGACGACACCCGCTTTAAGCCGCTGGTGTAACTTCGCCCTTTAACCGATTCATTTTCTCCACACCCCTTACAACATCCTGATTTTTTGGCCATCTGGGGGTTCGGTTTATTGTCTAAATCCCTCAAACGTGGCTGTAAGATAAAGGCAGCGCCGGTCGCTGAGGTGGGCTTTTCCTCCCAGCGTTTTATTCGCCACGGACCAACCTCTCCCGCTCCCACCAGAGAGATGGTTTCTTTGTGTAGAGCACTTTCCGCACCTTGCTTCACGGCGCGGCACAGGGCTTCACGGATTTATCGTTTCGTTTCGAAATCGGTCTTTCCAAGCCCAGGTGGAGAAAGCCTCCAAAATACTTTAAACGAGGAAAATATTAAAACCTACTTGTGGGTCGTAAATTAGTTGGGGTGGGGTCCGGAGCGTCGTTGGAGGACGAGGGAGCAGAGGAAGCCATCCCTTCAGATAAGCCCCAGTCCCGGGTTTCCTCCGGTATTCCTCTGAGGGGTGGGCAGCAAGGAATTTGCTGGAAGGAAGAAAAGGCGGTTTTAGTAGTCTGGTCCCCCGGAGGACCGCCCCGGAGTCCCGCCCGGACGCCGGCGGGCGGCAGCCTGCAGGTAATGTTCATTAAATATTTTTTTGTCTATTGTGATTTACAACTGTAGATGGACAGAGAAATACATAACTGAAAAATTGAAGGTGTGAAAAATTTATTTTTATTTTCTCTCCATTACAATAAAGCCAAAACGTATAAATAAGATTCACTTGTATATATATAAAATGGTGCTTCATTTTGCATATACCTACTTCAGGGTCTCAATGCGCAGTTCTTACTAACAGAGCTGGTACTGATGGATAGAAGCACTGTTTGTTGTGTTATTTTGGATTGGTTTGCAAGATTATTTCTAAAAGCATTTATTGGAATTCAGAACTGTATGATTAACTGTTCTGTCAGTAAGATGCTTTGTTGTTTTAAAATGAATAATGCACTTATCTTTAAAACTTAGATACTCACATAGCAATCTTCCAAAGGTTAAGAAATTTTTATGTAACAATCTCATAAATTTAATAAATTACTGGGTTTATTATGCCAAAAAGTTGCATATGAGTACTCCTTGTCATGGGACTAGCCCTTTCTGTAAAATTTCTCAATAAGGAGAGTTAGTGAGATGAAGGCTCCAATTAACTGCGTTTCTAATTTTTTGGAGTTGAAACATAGGTGACTGCTGTGTGCTTGGTAAGTATAGTGTTTTCTTTTTTTTTTTTTTTTTTTTTTAAGAGGAAAAAGGAAACAACTGTAAAGCAGAAGAGATTCTCTAGACAATGCCTGGGAGTGAAGTAACAGGTTAACACCATGTCTAAGGCGCTGGCTGTCTCAAAATACCCGTTATCCCTCTATAGGTACGACAGCGACCAAAACCGATTTTAAGGGGTGAAAAAAAAAGAAAAAAAGCTCCAGATCCTGAAAGACGTTCCCAAAGGTTTGAAAAAATAGGATGCTGCTGAGAGGAGACTTACCGAGGGGGCGAGCGGACCACTCTTACTGCCGGAGTCCAGGCAGGCAGGGCGACTCCAGCCTGGGAGCGACCCGCCGCTTATAAACTCCGCCAGAAACGACGTCGGAATACCAATCGCGCCGCGGAATTTAATGCCAGATGACCTTTTTTTCCAGAAGTGCTCGGATTTGCTTTTTTAAAAGCGTGAATCGCCGGTTGATCTGCTTCGACGCAGGCATGAGTCACGGGGCTGCCGCCACCCCCTCCGCGTCGCTCCGCACGGGGGCTGGGGACCGCCGGGGCGGCCGGCTGG